TCTTGCCTTGCCTATTTGATTTGTTCTGTTGGGCCTCATGGTGTTGTCTTCATTGTCTTTTTCTAGGATCTTGTTTAGAATTGCTTGTAGTGCTGGTTTGGTATTCATGTAGTTTCTCAGGTGTTCTTTGTCGTGGAAGTGCCTTATTTGCCCATCCATTTTGAAAGAGAGTTTTGCAGGATACATCAGTCTGGGCTGGAGGTTGTTCTCTTTTAGTACTTGAAATATCTCATTCTAGGTTCTCCTTGCCCCAAGGGTTTGTGTTGAAAAGTCTGCTGTGATTCTGATGAGCTTTCCTTTGCATGTGATTTGTTTCTTTTCTCTTACGGCTTGTAGTATTTTGTTCTTCTGTTGGGTTTCTGGGATCTTGATTATTATATGTCTAGGTGTAGATTTTTTTTGATTGTAGCTAGTTGGGGTCCTATATGCCTCAGTTATCTGAATGTCAAATTCTTCCCCTCTGTTTGGGAAGTTTTCTGTCATTAATTCTGTGAACAGCTTTTTAAAGTCATTTGTATTTTCTTCTGTTACTTCATGGATTCCTATCAGTCTTATGTTATTCTTCTTTGCATCATCTAGGAGTTGTTGGATCGATTTCTCATGATCCTCTACTGTTTTTAAGAGACCTCTCTTTTCACGGTCACTGCTATCCTATCTTCTACAGCTGAGATTCTATCTTCGCAATCTTTTACTCTGTTGTATACACTTTCGATAGAGTTTTTAATCTCCTGGATATCTGTCTTAATCTGTTTTATGGATTCTATTTCTTTCCTATGTTGGGCATTTATTTTTTCCATTTCTTTCTTATGCTGGGCCTTCATGGCTTCTATCATGGTCCTGAGCTCATCTATTTTTTTGTCAGCTTCTGCTCTAGAGTCTTGAATCATGACTTCCATTTTGCTCACTATCTCTATGGTTATCTGGGAAATTATTTCTGCTTTGAATTTTTCTAGAGCTTGATTGATCTCTTTTGTTACTTCCTGTGTTTTGAGTTCAGGGTGTCCTGGTGGTTCACTATCGGCCTTTTCATCCTCATTTGCCCTACTCTTTGCCATTGGTGAGCTGGAAGTCTGTCTTTGTGTCTTGCTTAAGTATTTTCTCATTTTTATTTTTGTTGTCAGACTGTCCTTGGTTTAATCTCTGGGTTATAACCCAAATCTTCCTGATATAGTTGCTCCCTAGCTTCTGTGTCTCTAATGACCCACAGACATTCTCATCTTCATAACATCAGAGAAACAGCTCATCAAATCAAGCGCAATGCTTTATCCCAACTGATACAATCAGCAACACATTAAGATCAAGCCCAACTTGGAAACTGACCACCTGTGGTAGTCACTAGTCTATCACCCTTAAATCATTTGAATTAAATTGAAATCAAGAAGCACTCCAGAACATGTCTGCAGTGAACAAAATTTCAATATAGTATATTTACCATTTAATGGCTCAGACAGAGCGAGGATGCAAGACCCCTGATCTCAGTTAGCTGATGGCTGAACCCCATGATGCAGAGACCTCGGGCTGCAAGGCCCAGATTGAGTTCCCCAACTTTCTGAATGGTTGAACTCCACACCGTTCTACTACAGGTTTCCCACGCCCCTTTCTTTAAAGACGTTCAAAGTTGGGAACTCAGAAAAATACCCTTTATGACCACCTCTGCCTCTGCAGAGTTGGGTCCAAAGACTGCCACAATCAGGAGGTCTGAGAGTATGTGGGGGGGGTAAGGGGAGTTATGGGGGTTCAGGGGCATCCGTGCAGCTACCTTCCTGGCACTGGAGCAATGGCGGCTGGGGTGGGAGAAGGCGTGGCTCCTGTTTATCGTCTTTGGTGTTGTCTGTTCAAATCTTTTGCCCTTTTAGTAGGGCTATTAATTATTTTTATTGTTAAATTTTAAGAATTCTTTGTATGTTTTGGGTAACAGACCCTTATCAGCTATGTCTTGGTACTGTTTCCTTCTGGTTTGTGGCTTATCTTCATGGTCTATTTTTAATTATTCACCCTAAATTGAAATATGTGTAGCATTGTATCTAACAATTAAATATTTTGAAATCTATAAACACCTAAGAGAAAAATATTTAATTATTAGAGTACACTCTTTCCTTAGAGTTAAGAGATATGGCCCCATAGGTGTCACAGAAGCGGTAGCACAAAATACAACAAAACAAATGAAATTTATTTGGAACCTTCACCAGAATCAAGGTTTTAGAAATCTAGCTAGAATTGTGTGTGTGTGTGTGTGTGTGTGTGTGTGTGTGTGTGTGTGTGTGTGTGAAAATTGAAGGAATCAATTCTCATGAACTAGACAGGTCAAGAATTGACAATTCAGTACTAAAAATTTCAAAGGAGAATTCTATTATTCTTCTCATTATTCTAGCAATTCTAGAAATTTCCCTCTTACTACTAACTCAACTACCCTTCACATATACCCCTGTTTCTTACCACTGCTATAGGAATCAGTCCTTTAGGGTCTAGAATCCATTCATCAAACTGTTCCTGCAAAGCCTGTTTCCGCATGTCAGCCACCTTGACTTTGACTGTGTGTAGGTAGTCTCTTTGTTGTCTTTTCTGTTTAACATCCTCCTTTAACTTGGATACTCTGAAAGATACAAAGATAGAAAACAGGCCAAGTTAAACTCTTGGATTTGATTCATATTGTTCAAATTCCAGAATACAAGAGCTCAGAGACTCATTTAAACTTTATACCTATCTTTTCTCCATGAAATCTTTCTTCATGTAAGCATGTAGTGTGTGTGTCCTCTTTCCCTGTAGAACCTATTGAATTTGGAGTTTATCTTATGCTGCTTTCTACACTGTTGACTTTTTATAGAAGTAGTACTTATTTTACCCAACTAAATGCTATATTTCCCAAATATTGGTAGGAATGTAAATTAGCACAGTAATTATAACAAACTGTATGGAGTTTCCTCAAAAAATTAAAGATAGGGCCAAGGATTTAGTTCATTGGTGCCATTGCCCACCTCACAAGCACAAAGGCCCAAATTTGATTCCCAGTATCAAAAACAAGCAACAAAACAAAAAACCCTAAAGATAGAATTACCATATGATCCTGAAATCTCAGATTTGGGTATTTACCAAAAAGATCATTACGTAAAATTGATATCTCAGTACCTCCTTATTTATAATGGCCAAGTTATGGAATCAATCTTAGTGGCCACCAACAGATGAATAGAGAATTAAAATGTGGTATAAAAACATAAGAGATAATGTACAGCAATAAAAAGGAAGAAAATTCTGTATATTGTGATGATATGGATAGAACTGAAGAATTATGCTAAGTGAAATAGCCAGGCACAGAAAAGACAAATATAATATATGTGAATGTATATGTGGAATATAAAATAAGCACAGAATGGTGGTTATAGAGGTTAGAGATAGGGGAAATGAGAAGATAATGGTCAAGGGGTATAAAATCTCAGACACAAGGAATATATCTTCAAAAGAAAAATATAATAATGCATAGTAATATAATTAATATTATATTTTATATTTCAAAATTGCTAAGACTATAAATTTCAAATATTCTCATCTCAATGAAATACCGATTTGAGAAATGGATATGTTAATTAGCTTGATTTGATTTTCTACATTGTATGTGTATAACATAGCATCACACTATATCTCATAAAAATATACAATTATAAATTGTAAATTACAATTGAAAAAGTAGTAAGAATAGCCCTACAATCTGCCCTACATAATCTAAAGACAAGGTTGATGCATTAAAGTTTTAATGCCATGACCCTGTCTCTTCTCTGGCTATAGAGAAGTCTGCTGACCCCAAAACTATGGAAGAAGTTTGGAAGACTCATTTATAAAAAGTGTCCCAGGTCATTCTGATGCTTTTAATTAGACTTTTGAGAAATTTGCATAGGAGTATGAGGCATGATAAAGAACATGGGGAATGTCGAAATTTTAAATGTTATAGTAAAAGATATATTGCCATTAATTCCCATCAAAATACTCCCCCTTGGGCAGGGGATTTAGCTCAGTGGTGCCACCAGCACAAGGTGGTACTTATGGAGTACTTACTATGGGTTCTGCCATTATAAAGCTTAGCTACTGCTGGGCATGGCTGTGCACACTTTTAATCCTAGCACTCTGGGAGGCTGAGACAGGAGGATGGAAAGTTCCAGGCCAGCCCTGCTTGGCCAACTTATCAACTTAGGGAGGCCCTGCCTTAAAATAAAAAATTTAAAAACAGGCTGGAGATGCAGCTCAGTGTAAAGGCCCTGGGTTCAATTCAATCCCCACCACCACCACCGGAAAAAAACAAAACAAAATAATGCTTAGAATCCAATGGTAGAACAGAACAGATAAGTAAACCATGCAGTGTTAATAAGCACTCTTCAATATTCTCATGTGACACAAAAATGGATTCACAAAATTGGCTTTCTATCATATTTTCACTGCTTCAAATATTTTTTCTGCCTGACTAGATCTTCCACATGCTTTAGGTCTCCACTCAGCTCACACATCATTTCCTCCCACTTACTGATGGCCATATTTAGACATAAAATCTAGCTTTGTGCTTCAGAGCCATTGTATATAAGCTTCTAAATATAATCTAAATGGATTTTAAATCAATTGTGTCACTTATTCCATAAATGAGTAATTTTGTGTTCTGTAACCTGAATTATTTCATGAGGATGTTTATGTCAATCAACAGAATTCTACAGCATACAAAATTCTTAACTTTGGGCAGTATAGGACAGATATAACCTACAACTAGATTCTAAACATAAATCTCTACTTAAGGGGACTGAAAGGGAGGGAAATTACAGAATGATAGGTTGGCCACAAAGTCTTCACATTCCTGTATGTATGTCTTTTTGTATGCAATGCAATTTTGCACTTCCTCCCCTAAGAGGTGGAGTCTATTTCTGCCTCCCTTTAACCTGCCTGCAGCCATGTGACTTACAATGGGCCCTGAGCAGACAGGATGCAGGCAGAAAGTTGAAAAGTGCTTGTTCATTGGGATGTGCCTTTTCTTTCAGAACTTGGAAGCCTTTCCACTATAACTTGGAAATAAGCCTATGCTAGCCTGTGGGATGACGATCCAGTTAGCTCTCTTGCACATAGCCAATTATTAGAAAAGCAATTAAGGTCATTAACTGTCATCTTACTGCAGTGTACGAGTGAGTCTAATTTATACCATGTGAAGCAGAAATGAGCCATGAACTCACCCCAAAGTTACTGATCCACAAAATCATGAGCAAATACCTAGTATTATTTTAAACTACTAAGTTTGAGGATATTTTGAAATGTAGAAAAAGATAACCAATAAAAGTTTCCCCGTAGGAATAAGTATTTTGAGATATTTTTTAAAGTACCCTGTAAATCTATCTAATTAAAGAGAAGAAGAAAACTCTCTTACCCACCCTAGCTGTAACAAACCAAATTTTATCCATCCATTCAAACTGTACAAGAAAAATATTTCACTTATAACAGTGTCTGCCTAGATTATATCAAAACTGAATGTTGAGTAAAATCCCCAATACTGAAAAAAAATTAAAGGTTATATTTCACCAAAACTAATTCCATCACACTTAGGTGAATAACTTACCATGAACTTAATGTCAGCACACCAGACCATTACCAGACCTAACTGAAGACTTTTTGACTGCTGCACTACAGGACTTGTTTTATCAGTTATGTGAAGAACTATGTATGGACTCACTTTGTCCTACACAGTGATCATTTTCACTTATATAATAATCAAAACAATTTAAAACTTTTCTCTTAATAATTAAAATCTTGAATTTTCCCCCTCCCTAAATTATTCAGTGTATATTCCCTTATCTACCTACTAAGTTAATGAACTCAGTCCTGATTTGTTTAAACTTTGGTGGTTTTAGTTTTACAAAGCTAAAATGGACTTTTTGCTATTCCCAGAGCAACGCTGTACTATTTTTTTGATGATTAGTTCTATAAAAATCCATATATATGACATGTATATACCTAATTATCATATTCACTTCTTGTTTTCTTCTGATTTATTCAACATATCTTATTATACAATGACTCTCCTAATATAACATGTAATGACTTAAGAAAAATCTAAGTAGCTCATTGATCAATATTTGAGTAATTAGTCTTATTTGAAATTTTATAAAATGATGAAGAACATTTACCATAATATCCTCATTAAATACTGATGACTAATTTCATAGATTTCAAAATAAAACATTTAATTACTCCAAATTAAGGAATGTGTGAACTGATATAACCTTCATTCAGACATCAAGCATTAAGATGTACAGTGGACCCTTGACTCACAAACTAAATTCATTTGAGAGGGCTGGTTGTAACTCAAGATGGTCAACTGAAGGCTCAGGCTCCTCTACAAAGCCTTCAAAGTCTCTCTCCTGTATTCAGGCAGATCTCAATGTCTTTAGAGAGACATTAGCCCAGGATTTCTCAATTAATCCTACACAGGAAAGGACATTGTAATATTCCTTCCAGAACTCTTTAAGGGTTAAATCTGTATCTGAGACCATCTGGAAGCACAAGGGGCCAGCATTCAGGTCGTAATGCAAGACTTTGCTCATAAGTTAAAACTAAAATTCTGGTCATAACTCAAATTGTTCGTATGTCAAGTGGGTTATAACACAAGGGTTCACTGTATTTCATAAGAATCTTATTATCTAAACCATCAAAAATCTAAAAAAAAGTTTTACAAAAGAAAAATTGCATCCTGAAGCAGAAATCGGATTGGAAATTTTGTTTGTTTAACATATATTTATTGAGCATCACTCATAAGATATGGTGTTTAATGGTGAGGGTTCAATGGTAAATATGACAGATAAAGTTCTGCTTACATTACAGCAGAGAAAAAGTACAATTGCAACCAATGTAATGAAGGAGGAACACAGGATACTATGAGAGCACATAAGGAAAAGTACAATCAAGTTTCACAGTGTAGTGCTATTTGAGTTAAACTCTGAAGGACTGACAGAATAAGGTAAAGAGAAGAACGATTTAGTCTAAAGGAATGACATATATAAAGACTCTGAGGTGGGAAGAAGTATAAGATGTTTAAAGAACTGAAATTAGTGGGCATGGTGGCACATGCTTGTAATCTCAGCGCTGAGGGAGGCTGAGGTAGGAGAATCACAAGTTTGAGCCCAACCCAGGCAATTTAGGGAGACCCTGTCTCAAAATAACAAATAAAAGGGGCTGGATATGCAGCTCAGTGGTAAACAACTCCTGGGCTTGATCCCTAGTACTTAGTATGTGCCTGGAGGGTAGACTATAAAGAGAGAAGTAAGAGCCAGGTCCCAGGTCAGACAAAGTAAGTCTTACAAGCCCAGTTAAGGGCTTTGAATTTTTGTTCTAGAAATAAAGGGATTCAAATTGTAAGTTTTCATGTTGGGGAACAACATAAGATTATCTTTTTGAAAAATCACTCCAATTACAGATAAAGAATGGGCTGGAAGAGAACAAGAGTAGATGGAAATGTATCAATTAGAAGACTATTACATGAGTGTATATGAGGGATAGTAGCTTAGACTAGAATGAAAGCAGTAGTGAAAGGTCAGAAATGAAGAAGTTTGAAAATTCAAAGAAGCAAAATCA